TCTACATGGTTCTAGACTAGCTGTAATTTGTGAACTCTTAAGTCTCTACCCAAGAGACCTGGAAATACTGATTCTGTCTAGTGGTATCCATGACCAAAAGATCACAGTTCTTTCCATAAGTCCAAATAGTAGCACTATTTTTGTTTATATATTTTAGTAAAGCATTTTTATTGTCAATAAAAAAAATAAGAGCTATTAATACATTGCCACACACTCTTAAATTGACAACCCTGTGGTGTGTTTTTTTTATGTATTACCATCATTTGCAGCAATATATTTAAACAGACAAAATTAAATGTGGCCATGGATGCTGCTGTTGTTGTTGTTAGGTGCCATTAAGTCACGTATGACTCATTGTGACTCTATGAATAGCTGACCTGATTCTGCCCTAACCTGTGCTCTCTTCATCACCACTGACACACTAGAGCCCATTGCTGACATTTTGATGTCAACTCACCTCACTGGAGTCTTTCTCTACTTCACTGACTCTCCATCTTTCCATGCATGGTGTCCCTTTCCAAGGACTAGCCTTGCCTAGCTATATGTCCAAAGTATGAAAGATGAAGCTTTCCTGTCTTTGCCTCCAAGAAGCACTTGAATAAGTATTAATAATATCTTAAAAGTGAAAGACATGATGGGAATCAATGACACAAGTAATGTGAAGGTAAACTAAGTCAAAATTTAAAAAATAAAACACAACCAAGCCACATTTGGATAAAATCTCTAAACATGATTAAACTAATTTTCAGAGTTTCTGATATCATGCCTATTGATCTTGAGACAAGATACCTATAATCAGGAAATATGAAGACTATAACAAATTATAAACTCTTTAAACATGTAAGTGTGCTGTGGAGTTGACTACGACTGATAGCAACCCTATGAACAGCAGATATGAACCTTGCCCTATCTTGTACCAGCTTCATCACCTCTGAAATACTAGGCCCCGTGGTCACTTGAGGCCAACTTGTTGAGGGTCTTGCTCTCTTCTTCTGACTCTGCCTTTCCCAACATATTCTCTTTTTCCAAGGACTGGCAGGCCCTTTCTAGCAACATGCCCAAGGTATTTGAAACCAAGTTTCACAATTGAAACTTCTGAATAGTAATAAAAAAAGGTATGGATAAATAAAAAAGGATGAAACATCTGAGTAACAACTAATAAATTATTTAAAGGATATTAATTCCCCAGTTAAAATCATTGGCCTTGATAATACTATAGTCAGAAGAAAGTTGTGACAAAGTTAAGAGAGCTCAACAGATGATGACCAAGTTAGCAATTAAAAAAATCGTAAAATTATGACATGATAGTGTTTGCTGTCTAACAGGAAAAATCTTAAGAGGAAATGTAGTTAAGTACTGTAGAGTCAGAACTGACCCATAGCTGACTGGCTACAGGATTTCCAGAAGCAGTGAACTTCTTTCTCCCACAAAACACCTGGTAGATTCAAACCTTAAGCCTTCCTTCCATTTTCTGAGTCTGTAAATTTTTTATGGAGAGAGACTACCCTTGGTACATGATGGTGAATTTGAACTGATAACTTTTCAGTTAGCAGCAACATACAACACTGTATCACCAAGCATCCTCCATCTTCATTTAAATCATATCACATTAAATGAATCCTGTTAGCACCTTTCTCTTTATAATGCAGAAACATTATAATACAACCTCTTTTGTGGCTTTCAAAAAAAATCAAAGTTGGGAGGAGTTTATCACAGGTTACCAGGAAACAATACTTAAGTTATTTAGCCAAAGATATAAAGGTAAAAACCTAAGCTTTTCAAAACAGTGCGGTTGGTTTAAGACAAAAGGATTTATTTTGATGAGATTGCAGAACCTTTTCTTTTGAAGTGGATTATACAAAATTAACTTTTCAAAGTAACAAAAATTGTTATGTTTAACAGAGAAAAGTTCAATTATTTACTATATGCCATTAGTTGTAAAAAGTTCTAATAAATTAGCCCATCAAACTTCTAACTAGATAGATAAAAACTTTGATTATAGCAAATAAATTATCTTTTAAATAAAACCTTTGTAAACTTTGTCTTTTCTTGAATATCTTTTAGAATATAACATTTTATTTATTTTATTGTGGGGTTTTTTAAGAGTAAAACATTTTAAGTGACAATTAACACACTTGTGTACTGCACACTCAGAAGTGACCCATAGCTGACCCTCCTGTGGGTTTTTAGAGACAGTTAATCACATGGGAAGAGATTGCCCATCTTTTCCCATCAGAGCAGCTGGTAGGCCCTGTGCCAACCACATGCCTTTGGGATTACAGCACAACTTCTCACCACTAGGCCATCGGGCTCCCTATGAACATGCTATCAATTTAAAAAGAAAACTATGTAAATTTTAATATTAATAAGATACCTAACAGGGTTTTAAAATATTTTAGCTTATTTCTATTTCTAATATAAAATATTACAAATTTTATAATAAAAATACATTATATAATGTGGATAGAAAGTTATGCTCCCAAACCAAAGGTGGGCGATTTTAATCTGTGGCCCTCAGGCCTGATTTTAGTTTTGGTCAAACATTCTTCTAAGTGGTATAGCACTGGTTTGTCTATTTGCTCTACAGAGGTAACTCGTGGTTGCTGTGAAGCTGAACACTGTGACACTGATGTGTTAAATGCAATAATGGTTATCCATGGTGGACAGTGTTTGGTGGAATCCCCCGATTAAAACTAGCTTGGAAGGCAGGAGTGGCATCTACTTCCGAAAGAGCTTGCCTCCAGAAAATCTATGAACTTGGAGAAACGATGAAAATTATGTAAGTGTTCAGATCTTTTGTTCATAGGGTCCCTATGAGCCATCCAGACTCTATGTCACTTAACAACAACAACATATAATGTGGTGTTTGCTTTAATAGGACTTTATACAGACCTAGTGGCATTGTTTCTAACTTGTTGGGCTGTTGACCAAGAGATTGGCAGTTTGAACCCATGAGTGCTTGAAGAGAGAAAAATGTGCGATCTTTTCCATTGAGGTGGACTCCTTAGCAGCAGGCTGGGTTTCTCTAGCTTTTTGAGTCCCTGCATAACAGTTTGAAACCACCTAAGGGGTGTCTCAGAAGATAAGCCTGGAAATTTGCTTTCTAAAGGTCACAGTTTTGAAAACCTTATTAGAAACAGCAATTTGAAAGACCAGACAGGAAGCTAAGGAGGGAGTGATTTTATGTTAATAGTTAATGTGAGATTGGTTACACAACTCAAAAAATGTAACTGATGTCACTAAATGGTGCAACGAAACCTCCGGTGATGTGGTCTGCAGGGAGTTGCTCTCCTTACTGAGCAGCTACCAAGATGGCATCTCTATTTGTTCGAATTCACCAGCAGCTCTGTGGGAGAATGAAGGGCAATTTCCTCCTGTCTGGTTTACAGCTTCTGAAAACCCACTGGATGCTTCAGTATGAATCAGCTCCAACTGCGAAGAAGTGGGTGAGTCAAACAGTACATGTAGACATTTATGTTGATGTGCGTTTGGCTGTGTATATTCTCACTCATTGCGAACAAGTCGGAACCGACCACAGCTGGCCCTCCAGCGGGTTTGCAGAGATTAAATCTCAAAGGAGGAAACTGCCCATATTTCCCTCACCTTCACCAAGCAGCTGGTGGATTCAAACCGCCTGTCTTTCCAACTCCTTAACCACTTAGGCCCGCAGGACTCTGGTGTAGCAACAAATACTACTATATTTAAAAGAAAAATGGAACTCTGTATAACAGTAGGTATACTCCACATACGAGGGAGCTCCAGCGGGCTCACCTGTAGAGACCTGAGCTTCTGGCAGTAAGGCCACGCCTGTGCCGTGGTTCGAATTCACCAGCAGCTCAGCGGGAGAAAGATGGACAATCTCCAGTGAGATTTAGTCTCTGAAAATCCGCTGGAGGGTCAGCTGTGAGTTGGTTCCTAGCAATAGCTTAGACTCTGCACACATGGTGTCACCAAGCCAGGCATCCCAGCTAGGTTATCCCAGGATAACAGTAACAAATGGACTAATTATGGCTTTGGCAAAGATGTTATGAAGGAGTTTCTAGAAGTGTTCTATTCACTTAATCATAATCGTACCTTCTACTAAAGCTGCTTTATATACATTTTTTCGTTCTCTCAGTTAATGGTTCTGCCATCCTTCAAGTTGTTGGGACTAAACGCATCAAAGTCCATTCCCCTCACCCCTCCCAAAGCTCACATCCATTCATGTTGTCTCTACACCTGGAATATAAACAGAATCTGCAGATTTCTTACCACTTCCTAAATTACCCCAATGCGATCACATCAGCTGTCTTTACTGATAATATTTTTGTTTTTTTTTACAAGTGTCTCAACTCTTGCTTTTCAGCCTTAATGCGTTTTCTCTTGCTTTGGCATGTTCGCTCCTTACCTATTCCTGTAGGATGTTCTTAGGCTGTCTCAATGGTATTAACCACATTATACTGGTGGCCTAGTGGTAAGTGCAATTCTAAAGTGAACCAGTTTGAATCCACCAGCGGTTCTGTGGGAGGATTGACAGTCTCCAGTCAGTTATAAGTTACTTTACTCAATTTTGTGCTAGTGGCAGCTCTACAAGAACAATAAATGGCCAGTAGGGGCTGCCAGCAGCTGCCTGCTCCTGCTTGCCGCAGGGGTGGGTCACTATTGGCTGTGGTGGCCTGGCCATGCCCACACTACACATGCGCAGAAGCAGGCGTTTCGACTCTTCCAGGGCGTGGAAATCCGCTTGAATTGCCACTGGGTGTAAGGCTGAGCGTGGGGTGCTTAGGAGGGCTGATCTGGGCATTGTGCCCCCAAGACTCTTAGGCGCTCAATCAGGAAGTTTCCTAGGAGTTGGAAGCGACTCAGAGAACACCAAATAAATACTGCCCTTGAAGCAGCGTTCCTTCAAAGTCTAGTAGGTGCCGGATAAGAATTTCCACCATCTTGAACCCAGGGAGGAAGACCCAGGCATGAGGTGCACATGGTAGCCCTCCCTGCCCGGGGACCCATCTGGGTTGTACCTCTCCATACACTTGGCTCTGCTTTCTCATGTAGACATGGGGGAGTTCGGCGGCCAAGGAGTAGATATTGCCGATAAATGGCAGCCCCACAGGCCCCGGGGGAAATCCTTTTGGCCGCCTCTGCTTCAATAGCTGGCGAACCACTAGAGTGAAGAGAAGCACGAAGAGCACGCCACCAAGCGCTGCTATGCACGTTTCAGCTTCGCTGGGGCCCCACATCTCCGGGCTCGGGGTGTGAGACCTCAACCCAAAACCCTTAGGACTGGGACAGTGCAGCCTGTCTGTGCGCCCATTGGCTGGACACCCTATGGTCCCGCCTTAGCTCGGTGTACATTGGCTGGCTCAGGCACTCTGGCTTCTCAGGAAGTTTATACTTCTCTCTCTGCCAGGCTCAGAGTCCATGTAGTGAGAGAGGAATTGACTGTTGTGATCTGGTGACCAAAGCCTGATAGGACACCAGGCCTAGAGGGCCTTTTTGCGAATGTTGACTCCTGGGCCTTTAAACATATCTTCATGCCTTCCGCTCTCTAGGCCATGCAAATTCAGCTTCTATGGAAACCCGACTTTTCTTAGCATGTCACCTTTTTCAATTAAAAAGTAGATTATCTAGCAGAATCTAATAATTTTTAGCATTTCCATTACAGAATTAAACTCATCAATTTAAATAGCAAAGATAATCACATTATTAGTCTTACTCTATTTTTTCTTGTATGATATCTTTTTGTGCTGTCTTCTAAGAACTGTGCAAATTAAGCAATAATTTTTCAATTAACTCAAAATACTTTTCACCCTGTTTTCTAACTAACTCAGTGCTCTCGAGTCAGAACTGACTTCACTGACCCTGCAGTGGGGTTTCTGCGGCTGTAAATCACACGAGAAGAGATTGTACTTCTTTTTCCCACAAAAGCCATTGGTGAGTTTGAACCATTGGGTTAGCAGCATAACTCCCAATGAAATAGGTCACCAAAGTTCTCATCCTTTTTAAATTTCCCCAAACTGAGGAGAACTCCTCTGTATTACTAAAGGTTTATTATATGCTGTCGAGTCAAGACTGACCCATAGCTGAAGGTGTTCGGAGGTTGTAAATCGCTCTGAAGATTGCCCATCTTTCTCCTGCTGAACAACTAGTGGGTTCGAAACGATTGTGTTTGGGTTGGCAGTGCAACTCTTAACTCACTAGGTCATCTTCCTGTCCATACTCTCTGACTCAGCTATTTCAAATAATGTAACTAATTCGCTATTTTATTTATTTTTTTTTATTTCCCATTCTGATCCTATTTTCTATAGGGCAATTCTTTGCAACACAGCCCTTACAAAACCTGGAATTCTGTTAACAGTTCTCTAATTGTGAATCTATTGTCTTACAAGTTCTAAGGTCTTCATTTTATTTAGGCTCACTCATACAACAACAGTTTAGTGAAAGCCTGCCATTGTCCTAACTAGATCTAGATCTAGATTTATATATATAACCAGATATGTAGTTGAGAAACCAAGTCTCTCTTATCCTAGAGCTTACATTCTTATGAGAAAAAAGGCAGTAAACACAAGTGAAATAATTTTAAACAATCAGATCAGAACTGACTCATATTGGTTTCCCGAGGCTCTACCTCCTCCAGGAGGAAGCTGCTCGGATGTCCCTGGTTGATTCCACCTGGAAAGTGTGCGTAGCCTTTGAATTAGCATCCCATCTCTATGAGGGCTATGCCACCAGGGCTCCAGATGGTCAAAGGTAAATGAAAATAAAAATGTGTTGTCGAGAATTACTGAAGGATGGAAAATACTTACTTCAGCAAGTGAGGAGATTAAAAGGAAGTCTGTTAGTTGCAGTACCACATTAACATAAACTTAATGGTAATAAGCAATACAAATTTATTATTTTACAGTTATGGAAGTAAGACGTGCAAATTGGAAGTAAGACTGGGCAAAATTCAAGGGATTGGCAGGGCTGTGTACCTTTGGAATGCTGTAGCGGAGAATTTATTTCTTTGCTTTTCCTTGGTTCCTTGATGTGGGGTCCCACTCCTTTATGTTCAAAGGCAGCAACATTTGATCAAGTTCTTCTCATGCTACCTCCTTTTTGGTTCTCTTTCTTCTGTCTCCCATTTTCACTTACAAGGACCTTTGTGATTGCATTCAGCCCACCTGGATAATCCAGGATGCTCTCCCTATCTGAGAGTCAGCTGATTGGCAACCTTAATTCCATCTGCAATCTTGAATTCCCCTTTACCAAGTTTTTTTGTTTATTTTTTATGGTGTGTACCCTAGAATTGGATCCAACTGGCCACAGAAGGAGATTTCCCCTCCTTCTCCAGTGGGGCATCTGGTGCACCTTCAGGATTGCAGTGCAGCTTCTTGCCACTAGGCCATCATAGCTTCGAGTCCCGTTTTGCAAATAATATAATGTAACCACAGGCTCTACAGCTAGAGTGCCCCTGTGGCCACATTGTTATACAGTGTTGGGTTCAGGAGTGTCCTTTCCCATCATTTATTTTAAAAAACAATCACTTTCCTTCCAAAAATACCTTCCAATTCACTTAAATTAAGGAGAGCACCTTTGGCTTTCTTCCTCTGGTAGCATCAACAAAGGCAGGCTCTTCAGAATTATGGACCCGGCTTTGGCCCCTGTCTAACTGACAGTGCTGATGGGACTCTGCCCTTCTTCAACACGTGGAAGATCTCAAGCAGGTGGTGGCAACAAAGAAAAGTCTTTCGAAACAGAGGGCCTTCCTTGGAATCATTTCTCATGCTCTCTCAGTGCTTGGCAAAGAGACACTGTGTTTGTCCTTTCTGTATTTGGCCATGAAGTGACAGAAAACAATATTGTTTTCATGGATTTTATAGTACAGAAATGTTTGGAGGGACAGGAAGTGAAGAGTTTCACTGTTGCATGGCTAGGGTCTGCTCTTGAAAATGTGGGTGGAATGGATGCCTAGAGAAATATGAGTGTCCTGGAAACGATACGGGTGTCTCTATGTTCAAAAGGGGAATGGTTTTACCACTTCACAGTGCTGCTGCGTTGCAACAAGAGCTACTTTTCTAGATCCTTGAAAACTGCTCCTCCGGGACTCAGCCTGAGTGACGCAAGAGTGTCCTGTAGGCTCCTTGCCTGTTCTCGGGCAGCTGACTCCACGGGCTGGGCCCTGGCTGCTTGCCTCCCAGTGCTTCCCCAGCACAGAGTGATGCAGCCAGCAAAAATGTTCCTCTTTTGTGCATTTCATTACCTGAGGTTGTGATATGCATCATCAGAATGTAAAGGAATGAGTCCAAGAGTGCTAACCAGAACTGCAGTGGTGGCTGAGGCAAAAAGGAATGATCATTAATACTGATACTGTCTTCATGTTAAATGCTGATATTTTATTCATCATAGAACATTTGCATTAAATTTTATTTTAAATGGGGCATTAGAATATCATTTATGGTGACTACTAAGCTTTGTAGGGTCCTCTCAAATTTTGCGCCAGCATTGAATACTTCTCTCGCCTTACCATGGTCACGACCCTGGATAATAGCCAATCCAAAGAATGGTTTAGATTGCAAAGTGGAATGCAGGAACTGGGTTTCTGTACTTGGATTTTTATAGTGCTCCCAGAGCCAGGCACAAACACCTGAGTAGTAGAGAACTGATGATTCTGGGAGGGATTTGAGAAACTTTTGAAGGTCTCCCTGTGAATACTAAAATGCTTCTATCCCTCATCCCCCCTTGTCTAAGGTTTAGCCTTTACAAATAAATTTGTGAGGTAAGAATTCTCCCAGAGAGGCTGAGCTGGAAAATACAAGCCCTGCTGGCAGGAAAGCAAAGTGATAGGGAGCTCCTAACGTTGTACTTATATATGATTGAGTTGGTTCCAATTCATCAGACATTTTCTTAGAGAGCAAGACAGAAAGAAGGCTTGATAACACTGATTGGTTGAAGGTGATGGCTTGGTGATAATGAAGGAGGTTGTATGAGGATATTGAAAAGCAATGAAGAGAAGGAAAAAGGAGGGCCTATTAAAGAAATTTCTCCCATTTCACCATTTCCCCTAAAATTAGATCAATTTAGAGGAATAAGAATTCTCCCAGAAATTATTCTTGTCTTTTCAGGGCAGCTGCGCCAACCAGCTCTCTGCCACTGCCTTATCCCCAGCCCAAATAGGATCTTTGTTATCCCTCACATCTTTTTCTTATAATGAAATAGACTAGAAAGATAAAACTACATGAGCTCTTAGGAGCCATATTGTTAATTAATCCACAAACAAATGTGAACACTGTGAATCAGAGAAGGTTTAATGCCAACATCATACAAGACAGACAAAAGAACCAGAATTAGAGGCTCTGAACTTAGCAAGCGTCCCTTCAATTATTAACCACCAAATTACTGAATACTTACTAGACTAAGTGTTCGGGATGTTATGGTAGGTATTATGGACTGAATTGTGTCCTCCAAAAATTCACAGACTGAGTATCTGTGAATGTGAGTGTTGTCTTAAAAATAGGCTCTTTGAGAATACAGTCAGTTAACTTAGAGTAAGATAGGTCTTAATCTAGTGTAAGTAATGGCGTGTAAGAAAGGCTGAGAGACACAGAGTCCTGCCCAGAGGGAAGACGGCCATATGAGGATGGATACAGAGCTATAAGCCAAGAGATACCTTGTATTTTTGAGTTGTCCCTCTTTTGGAAGAGACAGAATAACCTGGTATTGTTGTTCTTGTTGGTATGTGCCATCGAGTCACCTGCAACTCATAACAACTGTATGTACAACAGCCCTTAACCCTGCCCTATCCTGTGCCAGTTTCACTGTCTCTGACACACGTACCCTGAATACCCTAGTCACTGAATCAATCCATCTCATTGAGGGTCTTCCTCTCCTGTGCTGTTCCTCCAGCTTCCCAAGCATGACGTCCCTCTCCGAGGACTGATCCCTCCTTGCAACATGTCCAAACTATGTCAGACAAAGCTTCCAAATCCTTGCCTCCAAGGAGCAGCCTGCCTTCATCCTCTCCAGGACAAACCTGTTCATTTTCTTAGCATCCCTGGTATATTCAATACTCTTCTCCAATATCACAGCTCAAAGGCATAAATTCTTCTTCTATCATCCCTAGTCATTGTTCAGCTTCAAAGACCATGATATGTATCAGGCACACCTTAGTCTCCAGACTGACATCGTTGCTCTTCAGCACTTTAGAGTGGTCTCTAACAGCAGACTTTCCCATCGCAATATGTCTATTAATTTCCTGGATGACAGTGCCAAGAGTGTTGACTGTGAAGCCAAGCAAACTAAAACTGTGAACAATCTCAGTCTCTTCACCATACATCATGATGCTGCCATCAGCCCACTGCTGAGAATCTTCGTTTTCTTGATTTCCCCCCACCCTATAATACCAGATTTCAATCAGTATTCTCAATATAAAAATTTTAAGGCATCAATTCTTTCTTGGTCTTCTTATTCATTGTCCAACTTTCACAAGCATATAAAGCAATTGAGAATACCATGGCTTGGGTCAGACACATGGTAGTCTTTAAAGCAAGATCCTTGCTCTTTAGCACTTTAAGAGGACTTTGATTGCAGATTTTTTTTACCTAATACAAAATGGTTTTTGACTTCTTGACTGCTGGTTGTGTGGGAGTTGTTTGGGATCCAAGTCTAATTAGATTCTTGACAAATAGCGTTCTGCTAACACGAAGGCTGGATCGAATCCAATAGCAATTCCTCAAGAGAAAGAAGGGAAATCTCCTCCCATGCAATTTGCAACCTTGGAAGTGCAGTGAAGAGTCAGCTCTCAGTCAGCTCTTCACTCCATCGTAGCTTGGGCTTGAGCTTTCCCCAGAGACAAGCGCCGTTGTTTTCACTCTAACATGTAGGCTAACAGGCTTTTCATTTTCTTTCCACTTTTTCAGTATAGACTCTTTGATGGAATACAGTTGGCTTTCTTCTTTAAAAAGGATAATCTCTGTACAGTTTGAAGCATTCCATTTAATTAAATCTTCAAGTAATCCCAAAAAAGTCCTGCCAAGGTGGAGAAAAGGCCAGTCTCAAAAAGAGAATGTCTTGCTCTTGCATGGATTGATCCAAAAGCAGTATTTTAACTTAAATTCTGAAATATAGTTTTTCAGTAACTTATTATTGAGGAAATTAAAACTTTGAAGATGTAAATTTTCGCTACATGATACATTGCTTAACTTCAGAATTTAATAATAAGCTCTTGGCTATGAATATAGTAATAGCCTAGGAATTACATATGAATTTAAAATCAAACTAAAACCACTCATTTTATCTCTGTCAGGCTTTATATTTGTGTGGGTGTATTCTGGAGACAGTAGTATTATATTTCCAAAGAGAATAATAATTTGTTTAAAATAAATGTAGTTGATATTCTCCAGTTCAAAATAAATTTTGCAAACTGGCCATCATTGACAAAATAAAAGCTATGAAAAATGGCCAAATGTCAAACGACAAATAAGATAGTAATGGATTTGATACTTTTAACATAAAATGAGCTCTTACATTGATATAAGAAAACTTCTGAAATTTTAAAAAATTAATGGGCATTGGTGAATATCTAATTCATTAAAGAGTAATTATACTGGGCTATTAATTTAAAATAATGAAAACCCCCAATGTTATTTTTAATAATAAATTTAAAGAGCAAAATAAACACCTTTGTCGTCCATAGCAGTTTTATTCAGCACAGCCACCAACTAGATAAAGTGCAGATGTTCATAATTGGACAATCATAAATGACTGTGGTATGCTGATGTAACAAAATATTGAATAAATTAACAAAAACCTAAATTAGTTCCTGTGGAGCTAATTTGACTCATGGTGACCCCATGGTCTGTGTTTTCAAAAGTAGATGGCCAGGGCTTGCTTCTGAAGTACCCCTGGGTAGACACAAAGCACCAGACTTTCAGTTAGCAGTGACCTTTTTGTTCCCCCCAGGGATGTAGCAGTGAAAGGAAAAGCAAAATTAACCTATTGGCACAAGAACATGCAATGTGGTGAATTACTTTACATGATCCATCTAGCCATATTTCTGTGATTCCCACACAATGATTGGGTGAGATATGTAAACAAGGTACATAGTATTCTTCTGAGAGGCAGCTGTGTCTGTATTTACATCTATGTATCCACATAGACCATTAGAGTATGTATTTAAAAAATGCCCATCTGCTCACCCGTGCCAGCACTTCCACTGTCTCTTGGGGCACTGGCTGGAGGTGAGTATGTGAATAGCATGTATTTTTACGTGTACTGTATCTAGGTATGTGTACAAGTGTGTGTAAAAATATATACCTTGTGTATAAGCAGACCCTCCCCCTTTTTTTCTTTATTCTATATAAGTGCTTCTTTAGTCTTTGTTGGCGCTTAAGTGTTCCTTGCTTTCAGCAAACTAGGTCATATCATCGTCATAACACACGTTGCTGATGAGTTTTCCTCCAATACTAATGACTCTCATTCCAAGGTTTCCTCTAAAACTAGATTGAATTTGTGGCAGTTCCCTGTCAATGTATTGGTCAAATAATTTTTGAGTAATCATCAGCATGATTTTACTTCCATGTGATAGTAATGATATCGTTCAATTATTTCCACATTCTGTTAGATCACCTTTTTTAACCCATTTTTTAAATTTTATATTGGTTTATAAACAAAGTTCATATAGTTTGTATACATTGTTTTTCACACCAGATCATTCCTCTTTTCCTTTACCTGTCCCTCCCTCCACCCATCAAATTGTTAATTAAGCCCCAAATATGGATCTCTTTCAGTATGATGATTAGTTAGCTTTCTTCCAAATTTCCTGACATAAATTCTTTGATCTGCTGTATACAGGCTCAGCTGAGGAGAGACAACCCCTTGGAAAATGGGGTCCTTCTCCTGAGCACATGCTGGTCATAAATTCTCTTTTGTTGAGTATGGGGCTGAGAGAAGAAAAAGGTGGGAGTTTGGCATGTGAAAACTGTGGCTTTTATCTTTTCCCCCCTAAATACTTATTTTCCAACTTTACTCATCTGCTTAGAGGCATGTACCCCACCTGCCGCTGCCACAGGCTGGAATGGCAGTGGGCAGTGCTGGGCCTGTGAGAAGGAATCTACATGTGTGAGTGTGTGAGCACTTGGCCAGGAAGGTTGTGAGCCTCTCTTGGCCCTAGACCACAAAGGGGTCAAGAACCAGAAAGTATGATATAGAATGGGACCCTGGTGTGAGCTCTGAAGGGAAAAGAGAAACAGAAGAGCAAAAACCCAGTGGCAGAGAGGGGGAGCTGGGAACAGGAGGAACATGGCCGGTGCCCAAGGCTGCCCTTTGGACTGTCGTTGTCCTGTAAACAAGCTAGTTTAAGTTCTCATTAGACAGAAGTAAAAAGACTGCAGTATGGAGGCCGTGCCGAGGAGTTGCCGGAGTACATCTATCTAGTCACCATGGCCAACAAGAAGAAAGAAAAGTTTCATGTTGACGTGTGTGCGCACGCACGCGTGTGTTGTCTTCATAACCTAAAGCTGGGAGGAACCCAAAAAAGTCACATTGTGAGCCCTTGTATGTATCAATTTGAAAGTTGGCTCTGGGCCTCCACACAGAATAATTCAATTCTAGTAAAGGTTGAGAAAAATTTTGTTCCATTTGCATTTAGTTTTTCTGTGCTTTAAATGACTTAAAATCGTTTCCTTCCTGGTTTCAGAGCCGGGTCTGAGACCCAATGCTGCCTGCACCCTCTGAGGCTGAGTTCTGCCACACCCAGGCAGCCAGCAGTGAACCAAGACAAGGCCTCAGATGCCGGGCACAAGCAGCGCCAGGAGGCTCGCAGGAGACTCCTGGCAGCTAAACGGGCCGCAACATCATTTTTACAAAACAAAATGAATGAACCTCAGACGCCTGCTGATTGAAAGAATTATCATAAGGAGTGCATACTGTATGACTCCATTTACTTGAATTTGGCTCAAGTAAACTATGCTGTAAAAACATTGAGGACAATAATTACCTCTGAATAGGGAATTTAATGGAAAAGAGTGCAAAGCAACTTTTAATGTAACAAAAGTGTCCTATGTCTTTGCAGAAGTTTGCATTTCATAAGTCTGTGTACTCTAGAAATTGTTAAACAGTACACACTTTAGCGTGCTGGAAGGTGGCTCCTCCGGGCCTGGAGGGGGGCGACCAAGGGTGGAGGCGTGACCCGGCGCAATGGCTCTGAGGTTGTTTGCAGGCGACGCCTAGGCAATGGCCGGAGCGTGGGGACACCAGCGTCCCTGACTCCCAGGCCCTGAGCACCCCACCTGGATCCTGGCTGAGGTAAAGTGCTCACCCTCCGCGCCCCTCTTCTCTTTCTTTCTCCTCCTCGCTCCCACTGTCCTTCAATCTCGGCCAAATATGGAAACAAACTAAGCAGGGAATCGCTCTGAGGAGGGGCTCCCAGGACGCCCCCTCCTTCCTCCTACATCCTGATGGGCCTTCTGTCCCCACCTCCCTGCGACGCCTTCTTAGACACCCTTCCACCTAGGGCCTGTGCCCCTCCCCTCAAAAAATCAGAAAGGCTACATACAGCTTGCGTGTTCTGCGTGGCTCCTGAGAGCTTGTAGGCACCGTCTTGTAAAAGGGTTATTAATTCATCACTCTTCCTGCAGAAATGACAGAGTGAGAGAGGAAAGTAATTTAAAGATGAACTGTGCAAAAAGTAAAGAGAAGGTAAAGACTTTGAAAATTCTGTAGCGAAAACTAAGAGAACATATCCTGGAAGTGACACTAAGATTGTGGCTTCATAATCGTTTGTTAAAGAGGTTTGGCCTGATCAGGAGAATGGAATCCACTAAAGCATTTTAAGCTGGATTCAGAAGAGGCCATGGAACAGTTGCTGACATCTGATGAATCTTGACTGAAAGCATATAATACAAGAATAATATTTACCTGTGTTTTATCACCTAGGCAAAGGCATTCAATTCTGTGGACCATAATAAATGAAGGGCAACATTG